AGCCTGGACAGATATACCCTTCTTTGGGTAAGGAACTGGCTAGAGGGCTGTACCCAACGGGTAGTTGTTAATGGAGCTAAGCTGGTGACCTGTTACAAGTGGTGTCCCCCAGGGGTCAGTACTGGGGCCCATCTTGTTCAATATCTTTATTGATGACCTAGATAAGGGGATTGAGTGTACCCCTCAGTAAGTTTGCAGGTGACACCAAGTTAGGATGTAGAAGATCTGCCTGAGGGTAAGGAGGTCCTTCAGAGGGATCTGGATAAGCTGGATCACTGGGCTGAGGTGCATGAGATGAGGTTTAACAAGGCCAAGTGCCGGGTCCTGCACTTTGGCCACAACAACCCCATGCAGCGCTATAGGCTTGGGGATGAAGTTGAACATGAGCCGACAGTGTGCCCAGGTGGCCAAGGGGGCCAGTGGCATCCTGGCCTGCATTAGAAATAGTGTGGCTAGCAGGAGCAGGGAGGTAATCATCCCCCTATATTCAGCAGTGGTGAGTAGTTTTCACTACAAGAATGACATTGAGGCCCTGGAGCACGTCCAGAGAAGGGCAACGAAACTGGTGACGGGGCTGGAGCACAAGTCTTGTGAGGAGCAGCTGAGGGAGCTGGAATTGTTTAGTCTGAAGAAGAGGAGGCTCAGGAGAGTCCTCACTGCACTCTACGATTTCATGAAGGGAGGTTGTGATGAGAGGGGTTTGGCCTCTTCTCTCAGACAACAAACAGGACCCGAGGAAATGGCCACAAGTTGTGCCAAAGGAGATTTAGATTAGACATAAGGAAAAACTTTTTCTCTCAGAGAGTGGTCAGGAACTGGAATGACTGCCCAGGGAGGTAGTGGAGTTGCTGTGTTCAAAGGTATCTGGATGAAGAGCTACAAGATACAAGATGGTTTAGTAGCTTGTGGACAATTTCGGGAGGATGGTTGGACTAGATGATCTTAGTGGTCTTTTCCAGCATTAAAGGTTCTATGAGTTTGTGATTCCAAAGTGATGCTCTTGCACACACAATTTTTGGCCAGGCAAAGCCTATTAAGCACAGACAGGTTAGCATTCCCCTCTTTGTTGACGGGTTTTGGTTTTTTGTTTTTGTAGTATGTGTTAGATTCTGCCAGCAGTCATGGAGCACTGCTCTCCAAAACAAAGTTATTTTTACTGATGTGTTTAGTCTCCCAGCACAGGGCTGGAGCTGTAGTTATGGCACAGTATTGCCACCAAATACAGACCCTGATATCCTCCAGGTTACCCAGACATTCCTTTAATTTACTCTGTGTTAGCTCCTGTGGAATAAAACATTTGTTGCCATCACTGTCAGTAATAACATATGAATAAAATTTGATTTATAGAAGATGTAGCTACTAATTTTGTATAGAGAACAGTTTGTGTACAGCATCCAAATTCAAATTCTCAGCTGTGAAAAGCTGTAAGAAGCCACGGGCTGCAGCACAATGGCACGTGTTTGTAGTCTTCACTCAGTGGGTGCCCATTCTAGGCAATCATTTAAACTTTCATGTTTGCATATTTTTAAATTGGAGATTTTAATCATGCTATCAGTGAGGTTGGTTCTTTTTTAACATACTGTTTTCAGTGATGGGACAGATTGAAAGGAAAAAATCAGGTGATGTAACATGATGATATTTGGGGATAGTCTGGCTAAGTGTGTTGGCTCTGTTTTTCCCACTAAGTTCATTAAGGTGCTTTTTTGTTTTGTTTTGTTTGTTTGTTTTGTTTTTGTTAATGACTGTAATGGTGTAATACACTTTCCTGTAGATAGTTTAATTCTCTTTCCTGGTATGGACTGAGTGGAGATCAACCTGCATGTAACTGACACACTCTGGAAAGATGTGTCACTACAAGTTTTCATTTGAGAAGCACAGAAAAACTAGATTTTATATAATAGAGGTATGTCTGTATCATTGTATGTGTGTTTTTAAAGATATAGTTTATTATATATGTATGTATAAGGGTGAATATATTATGTTATGGACATGTCTACACACATTATATATTCATATATTTTATGTGTATAGAAGTGTACATATACCATATCCACATTACAAATATTTCAAATGTATACTTATAATGCATGTGCATATATATTAATGTATGCATATTTTAATGTGTATGTATATAAATAAAACCATGACACTACCTTTATTAAATGTTATTAAGCTCATTTTTCTTACTTGTGATCACTGGTTCTGCTTCTGCCCCAGCCATTTTTCGCCTTATTTTTGGAGCAACTTTCTTCAACCTTGCTTAGCACCAATGTCAGCTGCACAGAACAGCTTTCCATGGCAATGACCTGATGATTTTATTACTGTTACTTGAGATGGGGAACTTTACCTATAAACTCACCTATCTGAATAGATTTGGGAAGAATTTATAAACCAGGTAAATCCCTGTTGCAGCACCTCAAAAGTTCTGCAGTTAGCACAAACTTCTGTACTTACTCTGTGCAACTCTTCAGCAGATGTCCATGCCGGAAAGGGACTAGGGACATCTCCATGTCCAGTGCATATGCAGGACAGTGCCTTCCTCTCACCATGCACCATGGTGAATGTGTAGGTACCCCATGAAGGATCAGCTGCTTCAGCAGCGTTACCACCAGCATTGCACACTTTTTCTGCAGTAAACAGCAATAAGATCCTGAGAATGCAAACCAAAGGGGGTACCTTTGTTGCCAGTACCACAGACACACCCAGCAAGGTCCGAGCTTGCTGCAGCTGCACAGCACTAGTCGTGGCAGCAGAGCCTCATGCTCTGAGCAGCACGGGTGATGTTAAGGAAAGCAGTGCCAGGTAGCATCTGCTCTGTGAGATTGGTATGCAGATAGCTGCCAGTGCTCACCCAGTGACTCCTGGTCTGCTTACAGCACGCAACCTCAGCAGGTTCCCAAAGCTGAAGGTGCCCTGGGGAGCAGCTCTGCTTGCATACTGCTGCTGCCTTCTTGCTAGTATGACCCTGGATAGTGTCCACCTCTGAAGGCTTTCGAGGCACAGCCTGACCCAGAGCAGGGCAGTGCCTTGGTGAGGCAGTGAACCTAGGAAAGTGTGGGCCAGCTGTATGGTGGCAAGCATGGTTTCCCACATGGTGCAGAGCAGAGGACACCAGTGCCATCCACATCTCCTCACTCCTGAATGGTGAATGCAGGGGGGCCTCAAAGGGCTGCTTGACCTGGCTGCTGGGAAAACTGAGCTACTGCAAACTACCTCTCCTACAGTTTCAGTGTGCCCAAACTCCCTCATGCCTGGACTTCCTCCTGCACAGGGCACAGCTGCCTCCTCCTGCTGTCTGCCTCTGCTACATACAGCTGGGCGTTAATCATTTACCTGCTGCCTGCGCACCAGCCATTACTGCTGTCCCATCCACCCAATGCTTGGCATCACCTTTGCTCCTCAAGCACACCGAAGGCTAGGCTGTGTTCTCCCTTGGTGGGGCTCCGAAAGGAGAAGAAGTGGCAGCTGTTGCTGACATCAGATGTGCTGGAGCTGCCAGCTTGCATCTGGCAATTGTCATCAATACTTTTTTCCCCACTAATGGCTTGAAATGCCTTGCACTTGGAAGTCTCCAGGTGACCTACTTACTTTTATTGTTATGCTCCACTGTGCCCCATTTTGTCTTAGCCAGAGCAGCCCTATCAGGCATGGGAAAACACAACACATGGATATTACAACACATGCACAATATTAGTGGCTGCTGAGCTGTATGGCTGTATCCCTTGGACAAGTTAGGACTTAGGAGGTGTGAGGCTCCCCAGGCTCTGCCTGAGCAGAGACATGCTGATTTGTACTGTCTGCGTGTTGTTCTTCTTGGCTGATATCTTACAAAAAAGGTTTTAAACAAAGAAATCAAAGAAAGTTTCCAGTTTCTGAACACTAAAGAGTGGAGGGGGGAATGGGATTGTTTAATTCTCTTTTGTGATTTTCCCGTCCTAAGTGACACAAGTGGTATTGCTCAATGGACTGTCAGATTTCTACATAACCCTTTTGGCCAAACCCAATAATCTCATTATGGTGCCTTCCCAAAAGTGCCAGGATTTCCTCACTCAGCATAATCGCAAAGGCAGCATGAAGCAAACCCCAACCTCATGGCCTCCTCCCTGCTGATCTCCATCCTAATCAGCTACTCAGCGATCTGAGTTTCTATAGGATTTGTTAGGGGCTGTGTTTCTCCATCTCCATCTCCCCACCTGCTTTCCAGCTCCTTTGACATCTTCGCACTCACTTTCTGTGCTGCCTTTTGACACCTCTGTCTCTGTGTTTGAGCTCCTTGGTGACGCCAGGACAGAGGCCCTCTGCACTTACACACTGCTTAGTTCACATCTCCAGCCCACACACCCTTTTCTGCATATTGTAAAATGTGTTTGGATGTTTTCTTCAATTTTGCCCTCACACCCTCTCCCTGCTCGTTGGTATCAGACTCCAGTTATTGCCCCCTTGTTAATAACCTCAGAAGCATCATTTGCAGCCTTCTGTGGGCTGAAGTGACAGGAAGACCAAAGGAGCATCCTCTTACACCCCAGGAATCTCCCATCACCCCTATTTTGTCCTTTACATCTGTAGATGGGGTCACTGGAAGCTTCATCTTCATTCAAAACGACTTCCGCGAGAGATCTGTGGTACCCACCATCCTAAGGGGATGGAAGGGGACCTGAAGTACTGAGCTAAAGCCGAGCAGTTTAGCTTTGTTTTATTTTATTATCTTTTTTGCTATGAAAGGAACGACTCCATCTACCGGGTTTTGCCTTCCGCGACTCTCGTCTCGTCTCGCCGCTCCCTGAGCACAAAGGACTCGCGCAGCCATTCTGACTCGGAAACACCAGCTCTCCGGGGAAGGCTCGCACACCGCCGCGACACCAGCGTTAACCTCGCCCGGCTCGCACAACCTGCCCGCCCCGGCCCGGGGGCGGCGGGCGCTGACTCAGTGCCGCGCCACGGGAGGGAGCGCGGGGCGTGGCCGGTGGGCGTGGCCCGGCCGTGGGCGTGGCCATCCGCGCGCCCTGTCGGGGGCGGCCGCGCGCGCCCCGCAGTTATTGCCCGGCGCGGCGGGGACAGGTGTGGCTGCGCCGCTGCCGCGTGAGTGCCGCCGGGGCGCGGGGAGGGCGGGAGGTGCGTGCGCGACCCCCGGGTTCCGCGCTGGGGACGGGTCGGCTCGTGTCCGGTTCTCGGGCCCGGTTCTCGGGTGGCTCCCGCGACCCCTGCCCCGAGCTCGCGGCTGTGCGGCTCCCCCGCCTGTCCCCGTCGTTTCGCTCCGGCTGCTTCAGGCCTCCGAGCTTCGTTTCCTCTCAACGCGCGGCCGTCTCTGCGGTGCCCGCTGCCACCAAGCCGCCCTCCGCGGTGCCCGTCCCCTTGCCGCGCTCCGCTCCCCATCGTTTCCCTACGAGCCCCGCCCGGAGGAAGCATCCCTCCGGCGAGGGGGCGCGGAATGCCGGGGCGTTGCGGACGTTCAAACAGAAGCGCCTTTTCCCAGTCCCCGGAACGAAGAGTAGTCGCGGACGCCGAGAGGTGGAGGTCTGCAGGTGCTGGCGGCAGCGGGGAGAGGCGTGGCACACGTGGTGGAGTTCTTCGAAGGCAGCGCTACCGGGCGCTGTCTCGCCAGGGGCCGTCGGGCGGGTTGAGCGCCCTATGGGCGCCGCCGCCTCCCTTCTCTCCTGCCCGCCGGCCCGGCCCGAGCGGTGTGCGGAACGGCGCTGGGCGAGCGGGGGGATGAGACCCCGTTAGGGGCTGGAGGATGCTCTGCGAGCAGGGAGCTGCAGGTCGGCTCCGACCGGTCGCTTTGAGTGTGTGGCAGATGGAGAGAAGTTGTCTCACGCTGTCGGAACAGATCGGGAACTTTCTCCCTTGCCCGTTTCTCAACCAGACGTAGCGCGGCTCTGTTTGAGGGCCGCCCCGTGCGGAGGTTTGGGCGGGTTTCAGCGCCGCGGGCAGCGCGGGGCCGCAGGCACGGCCCGACTGTGGGGGGCCGCGTGGGAGCGGAGCGCTCATGGCTGCGAGTCTCACGGCGGCAGCACGGGGCTGGGGAAGCCGGGCCGGGCTCGGGCCGAGAGTCTTCCTTGTCGGCAGCTCTGTCGCTGGTGCGGGAAGTAGGGCAGCTTTCCTTGCAGCGCGTCAGTCAACTTTCTGCTAAGTAGTGTGTAGGAGCGGCGGGAGGCAGGTTGTGCTGCAGGAAGCGATATTCATGGAATGTGCTGGGAGAGACGCCGCGGCGTTAGGCAAGGAAAATGCACGCCGCTTAGGATTTGACTAGTTACAGAGCTGCCTGAATATCACGAAATATCTATCAGCTAATTGTACGCTGCCGAAAGAACTAATCAGGTACGTTTCTGTATCCTGACGTGACTCGGCTGCCTTTGCTGTCTGTGCCGTGCCCTTCCTGGCATTGTTTCTCCCTGCCGCAATAAACCGGAAAACTGTGGAACTTCTTTTTTTTTTTTTTTTTTTTTTAACTCGCTACCTTGTACTTTTGCTCTTATTCCTGATTTAAAGCTTCTCTTATCTCTGCTGGCTGCTGAGCCTGAGCTGTGGCACAGCAGTACCTACGTAGGTCTCCCACGGCTGCTGCAGGGTGGGAAGGATGTCGGAAGCATTAAGCTGCTTCCCAGACCATGTGGTGCCAGAAGGAGCTCCTTCTCTCTCAACTGCTTTTGTCCTGGTTTTCTTTCCTGGAGTTACAGTGGGTGATGCACACAGGTGCACTTCGGTCTCTCTCCCCCCTGCCCAACTCCATGCAAAGTTTGAGAACCAGCAGACCTGCTTGCCTTTTCCTCTGCTGTCTTTTGTTGATGCTTCCAAAAGCAGCTCTGAGTGTTAAGGAGGCAGCTGACCTGTGGTTGGGAGCCCAGTGCTAGGAGACTCAAAGAGAAGCTATGCCAATTAAAAAAAAAAAAAAAAAAGTTTTAAAAAAAGTAAAGCATATCAGAAAGAAGAGCATTGAAGTTTGTTCTCAGATTTAGTTTTAGGAGTTTCCTGCTCAGTTAAAATCACCTGAAATACAATTTCAAAGTTGGTTGGTAGCTCCACATGGTAATGCTGGACCCATTGCTTCCCTCAATACATGGACCACGTGCTGCAGCTGCAGGAAGCAAATGCAGCCTAGAGGTGAAAACTAAATCTTTTCCTATTTTCCTATTGAAATATTTGAACAAAAACACTGACAGTACATTCTGTATACCTGGTTTTACTCTTCTTTCATGTAGCTCATTTTAAAGGGAAGAAAATGAAAGCTAAAGGGACATGCAGTGCAGTCTGATTTTTTTCTAGATCCTGTTTTCATGTGTTTGATTTGCCAGAAGTTTGTGCAGTTTCAGGTGATACGGCAGTTAAGAATTTCTCTGTCCTTCTGATATTAAGTGAAATCCCAGAAGTAACAGTAATTGTTTCAACTGATACTAAGTGTGAGTTAAACCTGATGATAGAAACCAGAGCAGCTTGGGTATTTTTTTTAATGTCTTTTGGTTTCTGCATCTAATGCTGAATATTGAACAGGAAATGCTGAGCAGCGTTTTTCTTTCCTCCCATAATGTAGTAAAATGCTCTCTGTGTGCTTGTTATGTTTTCATTTTTTTTTTTTCCCTTGGTGTATCTCTCCCTACTTATACTCTATTTGCTTATGATGGTTACACAAAATGTTTCTTTACTTAAGATGTTGAGTAAAGAAGACCTATATGCAAGGTAATGAATGGAACAGTGGGAGAAGAACGCTAAATTTAGAGCAGCACAGGTGTGCACAGAGGCTGGTTTGTTACCTTGGTGCTGTACGAGGATGGCAGGATCTGAGTCCTCACTCTGACATCAGCTGGCACGCAGCTGACCTCTGTGACTGCCCCCCGCACAGCCTGCCAGCCCTGAGCGTGCTGGGTGCCGTCGCAGAGTAGCACGGATGTCACAAGGAGGCTGAATTCAGGTGGCAGCAAATAAGCACAGTGAGTCACCATATTTGCCAGGAGCAGTGGTATTTGGATTGCCTCTTCCCCTGTGCCAGGGCTGCACTGCTGTCAGAGCGATGGCTGCTGTCTCTCCTTACCTGATCCCTGATCCCACCTTCGCCTTCTGTTGCAGTTTCACAGTATTTCTCCTATCCTTTGACAGTGCTGCTCCTGTTGCTGCAGTTGGGTGCTGAGTGTGGGCCAGTGCCCTCCTGGATGAAGGTGCTCTTTCCTTTTCCTGTGGGTTGTCACCTCCTGCCCTTGTATTTCACAGTATGGTTCTATGAGGCTAGAAAGGGTTGCATGAGTAAGGAGCTGTGTTGGAGTAGGAGTAATGAGGGTGATGTAGATTAAGATGATGTTAGTCCCATTAAAGGGGCTTTTCCAATTGTGAACTTACTCTGTAAACAACTTGCTGGTCATCTTGTTATGTCTTTGTGAGTTCCTCTGTGTTCCTGTGTGCGTGTAATTGACTCATAAAGTCTTTGCAATTTGCATTATGTTGTGTATTGATAATGTGCCTTGCCCATTGGGACCCATGTCTGGAGCCTCTATTTAAACTTCTTTTTTCTTCTCTTTGTAATGCATTTTGTCACCAAATGTGTATGAATATAAGTTTGTATTGTGCACTTTAAAAATGCATGCAAACAAACAGTTGTTAAGTGAAAAATGCTAGTAACTTCCTACACGTATCTCCTGAATGGGACTTCAGGAAAGCCCTGCTGTTCCAGGGACTGTATTTTGGATTTATAAATATATGACTTAAAAACGGGGCTTGCTAAGAATAACTCCATTCCTTCTATTATTAGTCTCCTAACAAAAGAAGGGGACAACTCCTGCTGGAGTCTGAAACACAAAGATTGGTTTGTTGATGTGGAGATAATTTGCATTCTATCATCAATCATGAAATGATTTGAAACAAAGTCACAGTGACCTGATTCAGTGCCTCTCTGTATGCACGTACATTATGGGAACATTTCACATTAGTGTTTTAATTTTCTTTAATTTTTATTTTCTCGATTGTATTTTGTCTGAGCAGTTGAAAAATGAAGTGAAAAGTGTTGGTAGTGGTTGAAGCTGCTGTTTTGTGATACGTGCTGAGCAGAGAGCAAGGTGAGTGGAAAGAAGGAACTTCTTGGTCTAGAGCTGTTGTTGCTGATGGAGTAGACAATATCTAATAGGGGAAAAATTAGTTCTTTTCGGTGAATTACAGTATGTTTTAATGTAGCAGGCTTCTTTTTTCTGGTCAGGATTTAATAGACAATATTTTCATTTTCTTTACTTTTTATAAACTGCTTTTGGTTTTCTTCTTAATTAAAGATACTGGCTGAAGCTTTGAGAATATCAGAGTTTATAGGTCAGGTGTGTCTGTTCCTTCTGTTAAACAAATACTGAGGTATTTGCCATATGGTGTTATGAACAGATAAGGATGGACTGAACAAAAAAGTCTATATTCTGTTCATAGTTGCAGCTTGTAATGCTGCTTTTTCCTGTACAGGTGAAAATCACTTAATTTCAGATATATATATTTCAGTTGAATAGTGTGTTTTACAGTGTTTACATTTATATTATCACTCTACAATCTCTGTTCTGTTGGCTTAGACGTACAGTTGGAAATATCCGAATTGAATTATATTCTTTAATTGCTTCTGTAGTCAGAGTTCTGTGGCTTGTCTTCTCTGTACTGAAATAGAAGGTTCACTTTTGGGACTTTTAGCTGTACAGAATGGGTCTGACAAGCTTAATTAGATTACTGTAATGCACTTAGGAAGTGCCCTGTCCACCTTCATCTGTTGTGACCAAGATGTATAGAAGAAGCTGTGTACAAATGCCAGAGGGCTAATGCAGTGAGGGAGGTGTTCAATGTCAGCTTTGAAATCAAAGCTTTGGAAAAACTATTTTTGAGCCATGTTCCATGTGCTGTTATTGCAGATGCTAAATTTCTTCCATCATTTGTTTTACTATCGTGACACCAGCAACATCGTTTCATTAGCACTTCTGTACTTAAATTACAGGAGTCTACTCAAAATTTTTCTTTTCCATGAAAAAGTAATACAACTATGAAGGAAGGCTGCAAGTCAGTCTGTGGATAGCTCTGGTGTTCAAGAAATCTTGTTTTAGTTCTAACCATGACCCTTGGCATTTTGGGGA